GCTAACGACCCAAGCAACATCCCTGAGGCCTCTAGGCAATCTGAAAGACTAGTTAACACCAAAGGTCATTCATCTTTTGTTGACTCCCGTTCATCCAAAGGAGCTGAGGTTGCAAAGATGATGGAGGACAAACGTGGTAAACCCTCTATTCTGTCTGAAAATGCACAAGACAGGAGGAATCAATTAGTGACAAGAAGGGAACTGGATGCTGAAATGCCTACCTTGGAAACAGTAGCACAGACACCTGCACTTGGCGAACAATACGAATCGAACACGAGGAATGTTTCCATCAGTAATCATGGGTATGATTTGAAGAACACCTATCGGCAGATTGGATCAAGCATCGGAGCATCCGTTGTTATACCCCGAGCTGAGCAATTGAAGCTTGAGGAGAGCAGTGGGACTGGAATTGGATTTGAAACTGATGCTTCCAAGGCATCATTTCCTGCCATCGTTGCTACACATGATTCAGTTCCACAAAGAAAAGATGATGCTTTAAGTCTCACTCAAAGTCCTACTGACTGCAGTGTTCTTGGAAATAGACGCCCTGATGGGAAGTTGCCTAGTTACTCTTCGAAGGACCAGTGGAAGCCTATCTTGGGAATGAGTGGCCAAAGTTATCCTGAGTATCATTTGTCGGGTATAATCTACTATACTGATGTACTACTTGATATCTGCGTTGTTTGTCTATTTGTGCTTGCGTATATTCACGCGTATGTTGTTTTTGCGATGCAAAAATGTCCGTTGTTGTGAACATATATTTTAGCTTATGCAAAAAATGATTCATGCTGACACGAAAATTTGGAAATTCCTTATGCAGCTTTACAGACAGATCGAGAAGAGGATGATATTTCAATATCTACTGGTAGGCCACATTCTCCGAAGCATACAACACTGGAAAAATGGATTTTGGATTTTCAAAAGAGAAAAGTTATTTTTGATCAAAGCCGGGCACTAAAACAGCAGAAAACAGAGCAAAGAATTGCTGCTCGTTCTGACAAGCTAAAGGTTTGCAATTAATTGCTATTCATTCAGGGGTTATTTTATAATCACTATTGTTTTGGAAGTGTATTTGAGTGGTTGCATAGTCTTACTGTTGGCTCAAGTTGTTTATCTTTATTTCCTAGATCTGGGTCCTGGTAATTCTTAGTCATTTGCTTCAATTTGCCTGATGATGGTTAATTGTGGATAAGCCTCCTGTGTCTAAAGTTTGCATACATCCATATGCGTTTCTTGTTCATTTGACTTTTTTCAATTTTATGTCTTGTGGTATGTTATCTTTTGTCTTGCTATGCTAAGTAAACATCTTTCTTAATGTTTTCCCATTATTTTAACCTAACTGCCTGTTGTCTGTATTTGTTTGTGATAGTGTCTATCTCCTTTTGTTTTGGCTTCATTAGCCTTCTATGCACTAGTACCAAAGTGTGTGTGGATTTGGTGTTTGAATGTTTTTATCATACCCTTGTTGCCATTGTTTTTACTGGCATAATTGGTTACATGAAGTTGATGGAAAGTTACTATTGAGACTTCAAAAAGTTGAATACTTACTGATCCTAATTGCACTCCAGATCAACATTTCAGACTCCTACAAATTCAATATTTGCATTGTCATGAAGACAGAATAAAAATTATTTTAATATAGCCCCTGTTTGGCCCCCATTCTTGCCAAATTTTAATGGTTGGAATAATATTTTTTTTAAAAATGTGTGGTTGAAAAAGAATGAAAAGTTTTTGATTTGCGTGTAATATTATTTTATGGAAGATTGTGTTGTTGAAAATAAAAGAGAAGAAAGAATGAGTAGGAGAATGTGGGCCAAACGGGGGCATAGTCTTTAATCTGTGAAGAAGTGATCAAGTTTGTG